TCCCCTGGCTTGTAATCACACAATTCCATTGGCTGGCAAGACCCTGTTGCTAGTTAGCCAACCAGCAACGGGCATGAAACTGTATGCAGATGGAGAAGGGCAATCACCCTTAATGGGCGATCAATGGTGAAGGGCAATCACCCTTAATGGGTGATCAGGATATGCATAGGGGATTAAGGGGGGGGGAATACAAAGAACATAACAGTCTCCTGCTTGAGTAGGGGGCTGGACTACTAGAAGACCTCCAAGGTCCCTTCCAATTCTTTTATTCTGTTAAAAGATGCCTAGAGCATTCAGCTTAGCAGAAAATTACAGTTTAATTATTTCATAAAAAAGGAAGTTTTTCTACTTTTTATGAGATCCTCTGATCATCTTTCATTAAGCGAAGGAAAGTATGAGGTCCAAACTATTTCACCTGGTTAAAGGCAGGACAATATCCCATGAATATATATGACTGTACAAGAGATCATTAAGCTAAGGCCTTGGAAGCTAAGCTAAAGTCTTGAATAATTACCGCATACTTAGGTATATGGTAATTGTCTATATGGTAATACACAAAATCATAAATCATACCTCATCAGACTGTAGCTTTTTAATCTCTTCCTCATTTAGGTTTTCCAAATTTCTCTCTCCTTCAGGAACTTCTTCATCCTCCTCAATTGGTTTGGCTGACAATTTGAAAGAAAAATCGGTATGCTTATGAAAGTTCGCATCTAATCTGTAATTCCTCCAGACCGACATTTCCCCATCCAACTGCCATTCTGGAGCTTTAGAGGCTCACTCATCCAGGCACAGATTGCTGACCAGTATGAACTACAACATACTAATAGTCAGTGGAGGCAGGTCATAAAAATGTTAACTAAAAGCAAATTAAGAAGGTTAGTTTGGATATGTACCACTGTAACTCCTTTATCTTATAGGGCTCTGTAATATATAAGAAAATAATTAGCAGTGGTTACTGAGCCCCTATAAATTTTTAATTTACATGGTTTTTTGAGACATGAATTCAGATTTTATTTCTTTAGCAACAAATGCAAAAGTAGATGTTGCTCTTTGAAAAGTAAGTTCACTGGATGACTTTGAGACAGTCGCTATCTCTCAGTCCAATTTACCCAGCAAAATTATTATTGTGGGGGAAAATGAGAAGAAAGTGTTAAGAATATCTTGAAGCCTTACATTATCTTTATATAGTTCTATCCTTAGTCTTTCATTTTGCTAAAGAGAGTCAGACATTTATGCAGCTCTGTTCTCTATTATACATTCTCTAAGACTCCCATAACACCTATTTTTTATGCAGTCATGATGCTGTTTATGTGGTCCCTTAGATAATCCTGAATCACTACACGTAGCCCTTCACTTATAACTGCAACTGAGTCCAAGATTTCTATTGCTAAGCAAGGCAGTTGTTAAGTGAGTTTTGCCCCATTTTCAACCTTTTTTGCCATGATTGTTAAGCGAATCACTACAGTTGTTAAGCGAATCATGTGGTCGTTAAGTGAATCTGGCTTCCCCCATTGATTTTGCTTGTCAGAAGCCTGCTGGGTCAGTTACAAATGGTAATCACATGACCGTGGGACAGTGCAACTGTTATAAATACATGCCAGTTGCCAAGTGTCTGAATTTTGATCACGTGACCATGGGGATGCTGCAATGGTTATAAGTATGAAAACCGGTTATAAGACTTTTTTCAGTGCTGTTGTAACTTCAGATAGTCACTAAACAAATAGTTGTAAGTAAAGGACAACCTGCATTCCAGGGTAAAAAATACCCCAAAGGAAGATTTTTTTGTCATAATCTTCCTTAACCTGAGAGTTTTCAGTTGTTTGGGGATGACAATTCTCACAATTCCTGGGCAAATATTTTCCCCATGTTGTCTTGAAATTCTGGAAATTATAGTCATAATACATAGTTGGAGGAAGCCAAGTTTGGAAAGGCTGCTGTATGATATGATACCTGTGCTATCCTTTTCTATAGGTAGGGGTTGGTCTGTGACTTCATCCTCCAAACTCTTCCTCTTCTTCGGAATATCTTGGTTTTCCCCAGGCATGAATTGGTTCTTCTTGTTCTTAATCAAGATCTTCCCCATGAGATCCTGAGGACTTGGAAGTGGAACTCCTGGTTTCAGCTACCAAAGAAAAAAACAAAGAAATGGACCAAGTTAACGTTCACATCATCATCACAGTAACACAGAACGCAGATGGTCTGGACAAGTGAATCCGAATGACTACTTAACTATTTAATTTTCTTATTCACTTACTGGATATTTTTCCAGGGGTTCGGTCAGTAACATGTCTCCAAAGATGGTCCTGCAGTACTCAGCCATCTTTGCTTGCTGCTTAGGCCTAAAAGAAAATACAAGAAAGGAGTAAATTATGAAAAAACCCTGAGTTTAGCATCACCTGTTTTACTCCCTATTTATATCCTAGCATGTGCAAGATTGATCTAAATTTACTACCTCAGAAAATGTTTGGTTTTGTTCTAAACCTTGGTCTATATCTCCTCTCTACCATATCCTCTCTACCATATCCCTATTGCATGGTAATTGTTTTAAAAATGCCCTTGAAAATTATTTAGAGTTAATTTAAGATTTTTTTTCTCACTTTCTTAATTATTACATAATTTGACTACCACACTGCTGCATTCCACATTTATTCAGATCGAATACACTTCCCAGGTCCATTTTAATGGATACATTTTCTAGGAAATCTAGAAATAATTGTTTCAATGTTTATGGATGGGAAGATTGGGTGAGAATTTCCTTTTACTTATAAATAAGTTTTGAAAAGGTAGGTGTCAATTTTTGCCATCTCTTGATTGTGAATCCTGCTTAGCCTTTCGTGAGTTGTCTGAGCACGAAATTGAAAAAACAACTTCCGGAGAAAACCCACAGCTGGAGGAAATATGTTTATTGGCTGAAAACTAGCATGGCACATGCGTATACAATTGCTTTCTCATGTAATTGACTGGGATTCTGCATGGCGATTGTTTTTTTTTCTCCTTTAAAGAGTAGGCCACAGTTAATTTTGATTTGCTAGAAGGTTGCTAATAATATTGCAGCAAGAATTAATTTATCCTGACTGACTGAATGCCCTCCTCCCCACTTCCAGTTTATCAAAACACAGATTCAATCTTTTCCCACTGAGTAAGATCTTAATACTTACAAATCCACATGGTTCTCAAAAGACAGGATTACGGGGTAGGGAGAGGTTTTAAAAGCGCTTTCTGCAATAGCCTCAACTGCATCCTGTATGAGACAAAGAGAGAGAAGGAGAGTGAAGGAGAGATCGGCTTTTCATGAATGTAATTGAATGTTTGCATAGGTAGAAGAAACCTACATCAGTGGTGGCGAACCTAGGGCACGGGTGCCAGAGGCGGCACTCAGAGCCCTCTCTGTGGGCACGCGCACTATCGCCCCAGTCCTAGGCCTTCAGCTGGGTTTTATAAAACCTTTTCGCTTTAGGCCTCCGCTGCCATGTGCAAAAAAAAAAAAAAAAGGTTCAATCAATCAGTCAATTTCAACTTCTCGTGGAAAAAAAAGATCTTGCAAAGTTGGAATTGATTGATTGAACTTTTTAGTCCCACCCAGTCTGCTGTTACCACCGCAGCCACGCCCACCCAGTGGGCCACACCCACCCGGCACCCGACGATGCATGTGGGTTTTGGGTTGCAGTTTGGGCACTCGGTCTCTAAAAGGTTTGCCATCACTGACCTACATCATTCAAATGTTGATGTGTGCTGGGTGTTTCTGGGGACAATTTTAATTGAGCAATATGTGGAAAACCATGGATTACTCATGTCTGGGAGAAAGCCTTCACATATATAACTGGAACCCAAATCAGTAATATGTGCATATTTGTGTGGAAATTATCAGCGCAATACTGTACAATGGTCAGTTGCCTGGAAGTATCAGAGTTTCTAGTATCATGTGAATCGTCATTTATAGACTGATGCCTGATGTTAAAGGACAAGGGACCATGACCACCAGTGAAATGGAGAATGCCATTGTCATGGTTCCGACAGATGGAACTCTTCAAAGAACTTTGAGGCATTGTTTACCTTAAAGATTTTTTATTTGAGTAGCATAGCATTGGCACTAACACAGTCGTAGCCAAAAACTGGATTCCCTTCCCCTGAGCCCATAGTATCAAAGCACAATTCCCTCCTCCAATTAACAGTCATAAATCACATTCCCCAATTAGTTTGAAATGCAGGCTCTCTCTCCATTTCTCCAGCCGCCAATTCTTATCATCTCTTATTTCATTAACCTTGGTTCACACACTAAGTCCAGTATTATTATGTCTATCTAAACTCTCATGCACAATCCTCCCCCCCAGCATCATCTAACTCTAAAAGTAAAACATAAGAAGAAAATTGTTGCATCTCTAACTGTTGTCAAAGCAAAAACATCCGATGTTAGCAGCGTTGACAGCCATAATGTCCATAATTGGGAAATAGTTAGTGTAATGTCTGATTATATTGGGAATATGTTTAAAGTGTATACAGTATGGGTTTAATTGTCTGTGGTGAGAACTGCAGAAGATTTGAAAAAAATGGTATTTGGGTGGGGGGGAACCCACTGGCAATTACTTCGTAATTTTTGGAATTATTTTGAAATACATAAATATACCAAAATACAGAGATAAGCACTTTTAAAAATGAGCAATTGTGTCTTTGTCCTCTTCTAATTTTATAGGCTGAAATTGCAATTAAACTCTCCTAACTTTAGCCTGATTATACCTCAGTCTAATTTAAAATGCAACTGCCATGGCAATTTACTTGCATTTTATAATGACCTATTCCATATACCAAATTAAACATTATGATGACTGAGTCCATGGTCAAATTTATTGTTAAAGCTAACAGCTCTAACCATAGTCTGTAAATCTACATACAGATTTAGCCATGGTGTAGCAATCAGAAATTGTAGCAAAGGAAAGGATGTCTGCAACAGCACTTTTTTTTCACCCCCTGAGGTTCATCAAAGCTTATTTTCAAAAAGAAAGAGCTGTGGAACTAATTAGCTAATCAGCTGAACCTATATACAGCTGCCTTTTTATTTGATAAATTAAAAGGGAGAAAGAAAATATTGGTTGGGCTAACCATAGAAAGGTGACATTAGAAAAAAGTAAGGTTCTACATTTAGGCAAGAAAAACCAAATGTACAGGTATAGTATAGGGGGTACCTTGCTCAATAGTAGTAACTGTGAGAGAGATCTCGGAGTCCTAATGGACAATCACTTAAATATGAGCCAGCAGTGTGCTGCAGTTGCCAAAAAAGCCAACACAGTGCTAGGCTGCATTAACAGAGGGATAGAATCAAGATCACGTGAAGTATTAATACCACTTTACAATGCCTTGGTAAGGCCACACTTGGAATACTGCATCCAGTTTTGGTCACTACGATGTAAAAAAGATGCTGAGACTCTAGAAAGAGTACAGAGAAGAGCAACAAAGATGATTAGGGGACTGGAGGCTAAAACATATAAGGAACGGTTGCTGGAATTGGGTATGTCTAGTTTAACAAGAGAAGGACGAGGGGGGACATGATAGCAGTGTTCCAATATCTCAGGGGCTGCCACAAAGAAGAGGGAGTCAACCTATTCTCCAAAGCACCTGAAGGCAGGACAAGAAGCAACGGATGGAAACTGATCAAGGAGAGAAGCAACCTAGAACTAAGGAGAAACTTCCTGACAGTTAGAATAATTAACCAATGGAACAACCTGCCTCCAGAAGCAGTGAATGCTCCAACACTGGACATTTTTAAGAAGAGACTGGACAGCCATTTGTCTGAAATGGTGTAGGGTTCCTGCTTGAGCAGGGGATTGGACTCAATGACCTCCAAGGTCCCTTCCAACTTTTTTATTATTATTATTATTATTATTATTATTATTATTATTATTATTATTATTATTATTATTATTATTATTATTATTATTATTATTATTATTATCAAACTACCCTTATTTGTGGCAAGATAAATGTGCATAGAATGAATGAACATAACTCTTGGAAAAGAGACTGTGGGAGGAGAGGAATCCTTTTAAAAAGTTGATGATCATTAATAAAATTTTCACACCCGCTTCTGACAAAATCATGGAGGCATTTGATCTGGTCCAGCAGAATTTTTGTACATTCTTAATATTGTAATGAGGTGGGATTTGTTAAGCTAGGCTTTTGAGGATTGCATGATTTGATTATGTGCCAGATCAAAGACCTATCCTGATCAGCACCAATTTTCCTATAGAGGCCAAGTGGTTTTTTTATGAACATTGCATAAGAAGGTCAGGAACTGAAACTGCTGCTCCCCAGTCATCTCGGACTGATATTAAAAAGCCTCGTATGGAAAAAGTATCATAATAAACAGCTACAGTAATTGTCTTATCCTCTATTAATATGTTTGACCGGTCTTTAAAGCAATCTCTATTCTTGGTATATTGTAACGGTAAAGAATTCCCTGTCCTGTCGTGTCTGACTCTAGGGGATGGTGCTCATCCCTGTTAGCTGAGGGAGTCAGTGTTGACATTTCCATGATCATGTGGCTAGCATGAAGGAACACTGTTACCTTCCCACCGGAATGGTACCTATTTCTCTACTTGGATTTGCATACTTTCAAACTTCTAGGTTTGCAGGAGTTGGGGCAAGTAACAGGAGCTCACCCTGTCATGTGATACTGGGGCTGTCAGCTTTCCAGCTGACAAGCTCAGCTTCTTTAACGGCTGAGTCATTGCGCCCCCTACCTCTTTATATTGTATAATTGAATAAAGTTTACGAATGAGGTTTTTGCTTGTTCCACCACTCACTTTCTTTGGACAATCATGCATTGTGAGACAGCATTCTAATTTTTTTAATCTGGAATTTATATCTGTGTTTTTTTACGTTGTGTTTTATCTCATTGCTGTGTGCCACCCAAAGTTGCTTTTTGTGAGATAGGGGCTATATAAATTTGATAATAAACAAACAAATAAAGAAAGAATGCATTTGCGAAACCTCTTTATTTATTTTCCCTACTCCAATACTGTAACTAAAAGTTTTTGATAACACTTCTTTCTATACAATTATATATGCCTTCTCCTGTGGTCCAGCCATTGATTGACATCATTTTAAATAGGACATTTATCTTCTGTGGGTAAAATGAGGCTCATTCTGCAGCAACTGTAATGCCAAATGAATTTTATCAGCACATAACAAAACTGAGGAAAGCCAAAAAATGGGCTTTATGAAAGAGAGGCCAAGTTGGTGAACTCCAGCTCACCAAGAGTCAACTGTACTGAATGGCCTATAACCATGGTGGCGAACCTATGGCACGCATGCCACAGGTGGCACCAGAGCCCTCTCTGTGGGCACGTGCACCATTGCCCCAGTCCTAGGCCTTCAGCTCGGTTTTATAAAACCTTTTCGCTTTAGGCCTCCACCGCCATGTGCAAAAAAAAAAAAAAGGTTCAATCAATCAATTTCAACTTCTTAGGGGAAAAAAAAAGTTCTTGCAAAGTTGGAATTGATTGATTGAACTTTTTAGTCCCGCCCAGTCTGCTGTTATCAGTGAAACCATGCCCACCCAATGGGCCACGCCCACTCAATGGGCCACACCCACCCAATGGGCCACGTCCACCCGGCACCCGATGATACATAAGTGGGTTTTGGGTTGCAGTTTGGGCACTCAGTCTCTAAAAGGTTCGCCATCACTGCCCTATAACTTTAGATTGTCTTTTGCAGAACAACTTTTAATTGAACAAGCAGTTGATCATGGATTGGGGAGGGGAAGACTGATCCTTCCTCTTGATCTGATCTGATCCCAAAGGAAACTGATGTAGGTTCAAATCAGGAGAGAGCCACCTCTTTCCACCCACAAGTTTTTTGGAGAGGAAAGCTAAGAAGGAAGAAAGAAGAGAGGGGAATGTCCAAATGTTATATAAGCTATAATGAAAAGTACATGCTGTGCTAACACTCTGTAATTCCTTTTCAAGTTTCATTGTTGTGGTGCAGAGCAATCATCCCCTATAATTATAGCTCCACTCAAGCACAATAGCGTCTATTTGCTCTGTAGATTGCGTGGTGTTGTGTCATGGTAATTGTGAGGTCATAAGATGGAGAATATAAATTGTTAACACCAAAAACTACTACCAGGGTAATCATTTAAAGGGACCTTTTATTCTTTTCCCTGCTGCTTAAATTATAGCTGAAGGTGGGAACCTACTGAGTGACTTTCTTTCTGAATTTTTGGGACAAAAGAAAATATTTAAATACTTGAAAGAGTAGTAAGAAAGAATAGGATTCTGATTATTTAAATATATAAGTCTATTGTTTATTATGCATGCATCACTGATGCAATATATAGATCTTAAGCACCTATAATTGAATTGCTATGTCTTATGTGACTTGATTACAGTAATGTCAAAGTATTGCTATGCAGAACGCGGAAAGTAACGGAAAACTTTAAGACCTTTAATTTCAAACTCATTTAGGAAAAAAAAAACCGAACTAATGAAATAAAATCTTTATTATGGTCAAAAACCAGCAAAATATATATTTAGAATAGAGGTACCTGGTTTTGTAGTAGTAAATCAGAGCACATATATAAGGTTCTTGGTGTTGTAATTGATGACATGCTAAACACAAACCACCTTGGGTTTGTGTTTAGTGTCATCTACTCCCCAATTCTGGGTACAATGCCTGTGTTCCAGATTTTTAAGATCAGTATAGCTAAGTGTAAATTGCTCCAGAGGAAAACAGCAAAGGGATATGGAAAACAAGTCATATGAGGAAAAGTTTAACAGACATGGAGCTTTTATAACCTTAAGATAAGAAGCATGTGCTATTTTTGTATGCTTCCCTCAAAAATAACTGGATCCTCAGAAGCTCCAGAGGCCCTGGATGCTGCTGCTCAAAAATCTCTTGGATCCACTTGGATTCCAACTGACCAAGTCTAAGAGAGTTGACTGACACTTTATCTAGTCTTATTGTCTGCAAACCATTTGATACTGCAGTTCCTGAGGAAATAGGATCCTTAGTTTTATCAACCATGCCACCAATTTAGATCCATGACCTTCTTAGGTGATTAAAATTTCTATGGTTAGGTTCACATGGTTGCAAATATTTTTCTTCTTGTTGTTGTGCCATATCTGTTATCGGACGTTGGCGATCATGTTGGCAATCCTGTTTTTATCAGCAGCCGCACGAAAAAGTGCTGCTGAGTTTTGTCCAAACCAGTTCCTTAGATTTTGAAGCCACGATGTTCTTCTTCTGCCTGGACCTTGTTTGCCTTCAATTTATTTTACATAAATAAATGGTTCTGCCTGCCATGAAAGAGATGGTGGTAGACTCCTTCCTAAAAATGCCATATCTGGATGTAACACTTTTGGACAACTTTTGCCCTATCCTTTTTTGGGGAAAGTTGTTGAGGAAGTGACTGGACTGGAACTTCAGAAAGCCCTGAACTAGATTATCTGGATCTTTTCTAGTTGGGTTTCAGGCTACAAAATACTACGGAGACACAGTGTTAAGGTTGTTTTCCTCCTTTCTCTGAGGCTGGTTCCAGTTGGTATAATTAGGAAGGAGGAGAGGCCAACCCTTCAGCCCCCTTAGCTGTGGAATGCCTCAGGGTTGGAAACTCCTGTCTTTCCTCTTTAACAACTACATGAAACCACTGAAAGAGGTCATCCTCCAACGTGGAGTGTAGTTACACCAGTATGCTGTTGATACCAGTTGTACATCTTGATCCTGAGCTGACTAAATAATGCCATCAAGATCATATCCCAATGCCTGGAGGATGTGAAAATCTGGATGGGGAAAAACAGTTACATTTAATTCTAGCAAGACGGAGTGGCTGTGGGTGGAAAGTTATCCTGGTATAAGGATTTTCTATCTTTAATTTGGGGTGGGGTAGCACGTTGTCAGATGGAATTATATGGGCTCAAAGAGAACAGAAAAAAATCACCAGCAAATGCATACCTTAAACAGTATTTCAGTTGTCATAGTGTACCCGTGGGTGATGATAGGTTCCTCATCTGGAGGACGTCCCTTCCAGCAATCAAGTTCCACACAACGACAACCAGCCAAGAGAGTTTGGCGATACATTTCAGGAGATGAGATTCCAGAAAACTGTCCAGCTGTTGAAAAGAAAAGAAAAGAAAAAGAGGTGTGTATATAAAATATTAATAGAACCATAAAACAATAACTGTTAAAATTACCACAAATAAGAAATGATTAAAAGATAGGGAGGGCGGCAATTGGAAAGTGGGTACCAGAGTGTATAAGTGTGAGTATGAGTGAGTGCGAAGGTGTAAAGTTGCTCTGTGTGGGTATGAATAATGTAGCAAACAAGAGGGAAAATGATTGTTCAGCAAGCAAATACGTTAGGTGATGTATATGTTATAAGCACCCAATAGGCTTACAGGCATCTGCCCTATGTTGTGGCAGATTGTGATTCATTTTGCCTATTTTCTTTGATCATCAGTGGCTAGATCTTGGTTGATTATCTTTCATAGCACCTGTTACCTAATCTTTTTTGAACTGGCAGAACCAGGAAATGTGGGGAATTGTAATCCTAAATACATATAAAAGTTGACCACTTGGAGAAAATTATCCTAACTGAGAAAATGAGTGTGTCTTGGTAGATATCACCATACCTGTTAGATAAGTGTTGTGGGATGAGCTGATGAAATAGTGGGAGAGTGGATGGTTCATATCTTGGTACAGCAACAGTTTGTCTTGAGATACGATGCTGTTTTCAGGACCACACAGGAACCAAACCATTCCTTCAGGAGACAGTTGTCCTGCAGGAGCAAATAATCATATTGTGACTGAGAGTGGAATTCANAGATAGATAGATAGATAGATAGATAGATAGATAGATAGATAGATAGATAGATAGATAGATAGATAGATAGATGGATGGATGGATGGATGGATGGATGGATGGATGGATGGATGGATGGATGGATGGATGGATGGATGGATGGATGGAGATGGATGGATGGATGGATGGACGGATGGACAAAGACAGACAGACAGATATAAATATAGATATAGAAACAGATAGACAGACAGACAGATAGAGAGAGAGGGATGGATGGACGGACAGACAAATAGATATAGATAGACAGACAGACAGACAGACAGACAGACAGACAGACAGATAGAGTAGAGAGATGATAGAGAGATGATAGAGAGATAGAAATGATAGAGAGAGGTAGGGTGGTAGGGAGGTAATGGACTAGTCTGAATCCTTACTCGGAGTCCTGAAAATTTTGTACTCTCAGTTATGTTGGTAGGACAGAGCAATGGAGGGGGGGGGCATACGGTTGGCTATATTTAAAAAAGTGAGACTCAGGAAAGCGAATGTAGTCCTTGTCAATCCAAAAAAGTTCTGATTGGCAGAAAGTTTAATTAGTGATAAAAGAGCAACGTATATCAAAGAGCCCCTCGTACCGCTCAATATCTCCTCGGTATTCTCCCTATAAAGAGATGAATTTGGCAACACTGAGTATTGTCTGCAATCATGTCAGTTGCATCAGAAAAGCTGGCTTGATGATATTGTTTCAAAGCAGGTCACTCTCTTGATTTGCAAACCTGCTTCGATGGTTGAATTGAAGCTTTCTTTTCAAAGCTTTGCTCAGCCTACTCAATACTCTCCAGTTCTGCTTCTGTGTTAATTGTACGTGGATATCGCTTGACACATTTGTCGTTTTGTTTGGTTTTTTTGTGGGGGAGGATGCATTGTCTTGCACAAGAGATCATTCCTCAGATTGACAGTCAATTCTCTCCCTACTTTTTAAAAAAGTAGAAGAGTTTGTTTAATATGCTAACGCTACTACATTATCTCCAGCTTCGTATTTATGTTTTATTATGTTTTTACTCATCTGGGTGAAATGTTTAATATACTGTATATTGCTAGTCCATGTACGATATGCCGTACACTAAATAAACACATCTCCAGCTTTGTTGATATAAAGGTTTACCTCTTCCCTGCCTTCCATCAGGTAAGGAATCTGTGAATTTCACTTAGAGGAAAACAGTGTGAGCAATTTTATTGCAATAAATAAAATAAACAAATGTCCCAGCTGTTATTTGTTTGTTTTTAATGTTATTCTTTCTGGACAGATTTGGTTGAATTCTTGACTCAGGAGAATGGTGCACTGGAAAATCTGCAAAAAATATCATTTGCTTGCAAGCAAGAACTGGTGGGACCATACAATAGGGAAAATCATGGAAAATGGGAAAGCTAAATTGCTCTGGGACTTTAGAATTCAAACAGGCAGGCAGCTGCCACGTAACATCCCAGACTTAACAACTGTCGATGAGAAAGACAAAGAAGTCTAGTGGATGTGGCAGTACCTGAAGACAGCAGAAGAGAAGAGAAAGAATTGGAGAAGATACAAAATACGAAGACCTGCAAATAGAAATAGAATGACTGTGGCAGAAGCAAGCAAAGGTAGTCCCAATAGTAATAGGGACTTTGGGTGCAATCCCAAAACAATTGCCACACCACTTGAGCATCATCGGCATTGACAAATTCACCATCAATCAATTGCAAAAGGCGGCTTTACTCAGAACGACTTCCATACTGCAACATATATCTGTAACACCATCAAACATCTAAATCTGCCTCTCCCGGGCCCTTGGAAAGGACTCAATAGGTAGACAAAAAAATCCAAATCTGGTCTGAACATCTGGTTGACTGTGTGACAATCCATAACAATATCAACCAGGAGGGCAATGAGTTTTTCCTAGATTTGAAGGATCCAACCCCATGGCAGAAGATGACTGTGGGAAGATGACTTCAGGGGTCCTTGGTGCTTGTTTTCTTGCAGATGTTTCATTACCCTAACTAGGTAACATCATCAGTGCTAGCCCTGAGCTACAAATATTCTCCTTCATTGAAGATGACTTCCTTTATCTGACTGCATTCTTGAATGTTCTTTAACTGCCATCTCATATTCTGTTAGTATATTATTGTCTTACATTGTTTTGGAATGATGTTTTAGATGGTCATCCTGGTGTCATTATTGCCTCTAAAGTCAAAAGGACCAGTGATCCAGATCCGCAACCATCAATGACTTACTCTAAAGAAGATATACTTTTTAAAAAAAATATATATATGCATGCAGAGAAATTTTAGACAGTGTGATGTCAAAGTTGGTGAGAGACGTGTTAAAGAAACTATTGAATGCCAAGCTTTATGTCAAACTGTCAAAATGTGAATTTAACCAAACCAGATTAGATTATCTTGGCTATAGAATTTCCAACGAGGGCATTGAAATGGACCCAGCCAAAGTGAAAGTTGTAACTAAATGCAGCACCATGATATGTGACTCATATGTCTGCAGGAATGCTGTGATGCTCATAAGCATGAGGACTAGTCATAAGACATTTCTTTTCAGCACCATCATAACTTCAAACAGTCACTGAAGGAATGGTTGTAAGTCAAGGACCACCTGTACAACTGATATGGGAATGTGACATGGTGTGAGCTTCATCATTAAGAGGCCCTACCAATATTCACTCATACTGATTTTCAGAATTACTTTTTCCATGACTTCAATTACTATTACCTTGATTTAAATTACTACTGCTCTCTATGAATTAAATTACTCTCTATGACCTAGTAAGGCCACACTTGGAATACTGCATCCAGTTCTGGTCACCACAATACAAAAAAAGATGTTGAGACTCTGGAAAGAGTACAGAGAAGAACAACAAAGATGATTATGGGACTGGAGGCCAAAACATACGAACAATGGTTACCGGAATTGAAAATGAAAAGAAGGACTAGGGGAGACATGATGGCACTGTTTCAACATCTGAGGAGCTCCTATAAAGATGAGTGGGTCAACTTATTTTCCAAAGCACCCAAAGGCAAGACAAGAAACAATGGTTGGGAACTAACCAAGGAGAGAAGCAGCCTAGAACTAAGGAGAAATTTCCTAATGGTGAGAGCAATCAATCCATGGAACAGCTTGCCTTCAGAAGTTGTGGGAGCTCCATCATTGAAGGCTTTCCAAAAGAGATTGG